TGGTGGAAAGGAAAGAAAAGTTAGATGAAATTAAAGAAAATTTCAAAGTAATAAAAAACGAACGTACATACAAATTTTTCTTCAACAATGTAAATTTAATAAAGACAATCATATAATTAATACTAAATTTTCCAAATATAAGATACTACCTTTGGTTCTTCTCCAGTTCTTAATATAAGATATAGATAACTAATTTAGAGAGATTAAGAAAACTAGTTGAATTAATTATTCGTAATAAATATGTATTGTCTCTTCTAGAATACTCTTGCTAATAATGTGTATTAACTAAAATTACCATTTAATAAAATCTTTAATATATGCAATTACTATAATGACTACTTTAAAAAAAATATAAAAGATAAAGTGGATTAGATTCTTATATTTATAACTAAATTAAAAGTTAAACTAACTTTTATATTAAGGACCGGAGAAAGTAGTTAGTAATCCATTGCTAATTTGTATTTTATCAATGAACAGAAAATCTAAGCTCGATGTTTATGTGTATGTCTTTGGGTTGTTGGACCCATTCAAATCAAAGTACGTAAGTTAGCCGTCATAACAATACATAACACGGTATTTTTTATCGGCCAATTAATGCAATTTCTTGCGTACTATATAAATTTTCGTGCTTTTTCTTTTTGTTATTACCTGAAATAGGCATTTTATTGCCCCAAGGGTTCGAATCAGGCTTTAAAAGAAGTTTTCCTATTTTCGAAGTGTTATTAATTAGTTTAGATTTATTGCATATTTAAAATATAATATGAGCACCAAATCATTGACATTAATCATATTTTCAAGTAAATAAGTCACTTTACTTATTGAAAATCTAATTGAAAAATTTATTATAACATTTTAAGAAAATATTAGTTTTTAAATTAATTATGCTACATTTTACTTTGGTAAGATTTAATTTGAATTTTACTAGATGCAATTTATTAGATGTTGACGAATTATGTTTGTTGTAACCACCAATAACTGAACTCTTTTGTTCCGAAACTTCACATCAAACGCATCTTTGAAAAACAAGACTATATTCTCTTACTTTTGCAACTTGTCAAATAAAATATATGAATAACCTAAGCTAAACAAAGAAGTTAGTGGTTCTAGGACATGTAATTCTATGCTACCTATATTTCTTAATATATGAGATAGTTAACTAATTTAGAGAAATTAAGAAAATTCTTAAATTACTTTAAAGTATCTATATTTATTGTTTTTATCTAAATTAATTTGTTTCACTTATAAATTGATATACAATCTAATGACCCGTATGAGTATTTTAAAAAGATCATGTAACATATGTTATAATTAAGTAATTCAGTACCTTTCTTAATCTCCTAAAATTAATCAATTGAGTCTTATATTAAAGTTTGGAGGTAAACTATATGTCTAGGTTCTCCCATTACTTGCTGTTGCAATAAAGAATTTCGCAAAACATTTTCCCTGTAAACAAAAGCGCGTGTCATGCTTCCTTTTCTTTCTTCTGATCTAAATAAAGAAACGTAAGCTTATGAAATTTCAACAAAATTAAGAAGAAACTTGGATACAATTGCTGAACTTTATTTTCTCTCTTCCACGAATTACCAGTGATACAAGCTCTTTATAAATAGGATGGGCGTCTAAAATTGTTCGTAGACAAAACACACCATTGTGAATCGATATTGTAAATCCATTAGCATATTTTAGTCGTCAATGAAGAATGTATATCTATGGTGTATTCTCGCACCTCTCTGGGGGTTTCTTCAAATTGTTAAGGCTCGAAGGACGATGATTCAATTACTGAAAAGAGTCTTAGCTATGCTTCTTCATCACCAAATAAATTAAATGTGAGCATAGATATGTATATATATCGGTATGATTTATGTTGCTATTAATTTTATCCCCCGTTTGTTCTTAATTACTGTATGGCTCAATATACCTCTTTTTTCACAAAAATTTTGGTTGAGTTGGGTCATGAAAACTCATCAAGAATAGGTTATGTTTTATGACTCGAAAAGTGTTTACAGAAGCACTTATAGGTCCACTCTATTAATAAAGTTTTTATATTAGTCGTGGAATTTGAATTTACAATTTTGTAAATTTTAACAAATCTCATCAGCTTGACCAATCTTTCTTAGCTTTAAACACATCATAATGTTATGATCTGTTATTTCCGCAATACTAAATTGACTTTTATTCAAATAGTTTACACACCTAACTCTTATCAGGCATTTTATTTCCAGGCGTTTCAGAGATTGTTCTGCCCAATTCTCGTATTCTCCACTCATTTGCCTAGCATCTATCCCCGCGCAGAGTGTGTGCGCGTATGTGTGTTTGTATAATGAACCAATAAAACAAAATTCTTTTGATCAATAAAATAATATATTAATCATTTTGAAATGTTCGGAAGTATATATAATAATTACTTACGTATATTTCGATCAAAAACCATACTGTATATACCATATTGTACATAATAATTACTAACTGCTTTACCCAGAAAAAAAGTTGGCATTTTCTCAAACACCATGTGGACATATTTTAAAGGAGAAATGTACAAGATTTATTCTAACTCCATTCCCTCAAACGGTTAATCAGCAATATTAGTCCTAAGTACACCATGTGGGCATTTCTCGAAGTCATGAACTACAGAACGAGCGAATCAACAAGGATCGTTGAGCCGGCACAGCTAAATAATCGCCGCTGATTTTTTTTTTGTTTTGGGGCCAAAAGTCCTCACTGACTAATACACAATTATTTTTTTATTATGTATAGATATCCACTTACTAAAGACACTCCTATTTAAAGTGTTATCATGTACTAAATCTGGATCCATCTCGTAGCAGGAATTTGAATATTAATTTGTCACGATATAAGAAACTAGTTTTTTTCTTAGACCAATTCCTGTTACTAATACCCAGATAATTTTAGTTTAAATGAAAATTCGTATATTTGCTATGGGCCTTGACTTTTTTCGGACGACAGATGGATTCAACTATGCAGAGTCCATCTTAATATAACGAATACTTGAGGGATCCAGATCCTCTGAGTAGCGTTTCTCTCAGCGTCTCTCAGTATCTTAAAATCCTGTCCGTTCAGATAATCCAAAGGCTTGCAATAGACCACATCATCAGGCCCATTGTCCCTCCCCGGTCCAAGCCATTCGACGATGCAAGCACAGAGCTCATGGGAAAAAGACAAACATATCGAGCAAGTAGCCGCAGAATCACCACCGGCGCCACCTTTCTGATCACTCATCACTTCGGAGTATAACAACAACAAATACCTCTTCAAGGTCGCGTCACCCACACCTATGGGCTGTTTGTCGCCGGAGGATCTCCGACGACAATGGTGTGTAAGCCAAAGCTTGCGATGCGAACTTGTGACAGTTCTGTCAGATTCATGGCCAAGCACGAAATTACGGTGATGAATGCAAAGGGAGAAGAAGGACCCCGATGGATAGTCCAATCGGATAATAGGTGTATCCGTTAAATGGTGGCTTAGAGTGCGCCTCCAATATGGAGGTTCTCATCGTCTTCGAATTTAATCAGATTTTAGGGCAGAAGAACAAATAAAGAAGGGTCAAATTAAAGTCTTGGGGGAACGAGTCTGGACAACTAATAAAATCTTTATATTAGTTTATTTAACAATATATGTTTCGTCTTTGCTGTCCTTTCCATCATCTCTCAGCAAGCAATTGATTCATCATCATCTGCATAATCCATGTTTGAAGTTAGTAATACCCACAAAAATAAATGCGCATTAATTTCATATGGGGCAAGCAAATTAGAGATCAAGGAATACAAATAGACATAGATTCTGATTTTACATGGTTGTTTTCCAGTATGGTGAAGAATGAACAGGAGAAATTAAAAGGAATGCAAGGGCTAAGATAAATCGAAGAATGAGGAACAGTAGAGGATGAAAAAGAAAGGGAAAGAATATGGAGGAAGAAGAGGCATTTACATACATGATAGGCGAAGCCATTCTTGGCTTTGAAATTCTATCTCCATGACAGTGCCCAGCTGAATGACCATGACTCTTTTGCTGTTTGATGTCGAATGGCTTGCGCTAGGAAAGGACAACGGGTTTGATGATGTGGTTTACTGTGAGCCTTTGGATCATCTCAACGGGCAGGATGTTAAGATACTGAGAGATGCTGAGAAAACCGCTAGTGAGAGGATCTGGATCCATACTTGAGCCGGCCAAATGCTATTTGGGGAGAGAATTAAATTTTGTAGATAATGGGATTTAAGTATAATAGAATGAGTTATTTCTTTACGAATTAAAGTTTGAATTCTCACGGGAAATATCCACGTTAGTGGCGAGCATGATTGCTTCCAGTAGAAAAATATATGTACCTAGCCATAAAAAATGAATTTTGTAGACAAGCAGACATAAATTATTAATATCAGGTATTAGATTCTCGTATGATACACTTCTTAATTAACACGATTAATTATATACTTATGATGGAAGTCCGTTATCTTTAAGGGTCAATGGTCATTGAAAGAGCTATAAGTATTTATATAAGTTTTTTTTTTTGGCATAATATCACTCAAAAAGTGTTTAAAAAGGAGCAATGTTGCCCTTTTCATTTAAAAAAAATTAACTCTAATAATTAAAAAACTAACATTAAGTGTAATTATTTGTAACGAATATGGTAATATTACTAATTTTTTAGTACTTTCAAGTGTATTGAGTCAAAGCTAACATTAACCGTAATTATTTGTAACGAACATGGTAATATTGCTCTTTTTTTTTTAGTACTTTCAAAGTGTATTGAGTCAAAGAAAACTTATGGACATCCATTAGTACTTTTTGCGAATGCTTTTAGGACAAAAATGACCTCTAACCCTATTACTTTATATATTTTAGTACATCTTTAGGATATTTTATTAGTAACCCCTAAGATTACTTATCTAACCACATTAATTCCATATTTACAATTAATCCACGCATAGATTCCTTGAGACTTTTTCTTAAACCAAGAACAACCACAATTTTCAATTTCAACGCATATACACAAATACCTAAGATACTTATTCATACATTTCACATTAATTCTTCAGATAGGGCGTAGATTGATAGGAGCACCATATTGTGGCTTAACAGTAATACGAAGGCAAGGGGCATGAGTGTAAGAAGGCGAGAGTTGAAATGAGAAACGTGGGAGAATCATGGCCAAAGCCATCTTTGCTTCAATCAATGCAAATTTTTGGGCCACACAAATTCTTGGACCCCAACCAAATGGGAAAAATGCCATTTGATCCTTTGAAGCTTTTGAAACTCCTTCACAAAATCTCTCTGGTTTGAACTCATTTGCATCCTCACCCCAATAATCGGCATCATAATGAACATTCATCACCAATAAACACAGCTCAACCCCCGCAGGTATCAACAAATTTCCCACCCTGGTTTCTCGCGTTGTGTATCTCGAGATAAAAGGTAGAGAGGGAAAAAGTCTCAGCACTTCATCAAGAATCATTGGTATCTGCAAGAGTCAAATATGTATATATTATTAACTTGATAAACAACAACGTTGATAAAAACCAATCTTATCAACAAAATATTCAACAAAAAACAATTAGCTCTTCCTTCTCGAAAGATAATGACCAAATCCTAAGAACTACTAGAGGTAATAACACAAGGGAGTAACATTTCACAACCTCCCTATATCGCTATAAAACCTTTACTCCCTCTGGTCCACAATATAAGTCGTTTTTAGAAAAATGACTCAGTCTAAAATATAAGTTATTTGAAGAGTAACTAATACTTTTTTGTCAATTTTGTGCCTGCAATTAAGGCTTAAATGTAGCTCCTTGTATTTTTCTCTCTTCTTTAGAACCTCATTTAATATGGACAAAGTTGGAAAAAAAATTAATTTGAAACACATTTAATGAATTAACTACTATTTTTTTATATTGATGAATTGGTTAAAATGACTTATGTTGTGGATTGGAAGGAGTATAGATTTGGGTCAATAACTAATTCATATATAATCCCAACTAATTAAGATAAGATCTTATAATGAACTAATGAATTTCTCCAACTAGAGATATATATATAGTGTTGAACCAAATGTAGGGAGTATTTCAATATGATTTATTTATTATTAGAACTTACTATCTTAAAGCGATTAATGGCTCCGAAGTCAGGCTTTGCTGTACCGCAAATCTCTAAAACTTCATGTCTTGCTTTGTCTTGCCAATCTGGGTATATAGATAAGCAGATCATAGTCCATGTGAGGAGGGTGGCTGTGGTCTCTTGGCCAGCGATGTAGAACATTTTGCATTCTTCTATCACATCATCAATTGTCAGATCATTAATGCTTTGTTCTTTGCACTGCAAAAGTAAGCCCAACAAATCAAGCTCTCCTTCCACCTCTCCTCTTTGCATTGCATCTTCTCTTTGTCGTATCATATTCTTCAATATTGCTTTGATTTGGTTGTATATTTGGTACCTTCTCTTGTTTTTCCTTGTGGGTACGAATCTGGGGATAGAATTAATACAACCACATATGAAACATTTGTCAGACTATTTACAGTTTAGATGACAAGCTGATTGTTAATTATAAATATCAATTAATTAAGGACCCCAAAATGGTTTAATCACAACTAGTATAGGATTAAATTTTATAGAAAAAGTATATATATATTCCCTTAATCTAAAAAATAATTAAATGACAACAATAATTTAACAAGTAACAACTTTAATTTATCAAATGACAACAACAGTTTAGCAAGTAGCAACTTTAACTTATCAAATAACAACAAACAATTAAGATAGTGATATATTTAATTTCATTGAGCGCAGTTACGTCATTTTACAAAAAAACTTAATTCTAAAATAATCCCTAAGGAGTAAATAGGAATTAAGTCATTTTGAGAGACCGTTCTGGGATTATCATAATTCAGTGCTCCTCATATGACTTTCTCTGTGAAGTATTCATAACCAAAAAGAATCCATATGCAATATTATTATTATATATTAATTTGTGAAGTTGTATGGTCACCTGAAGCCTGGGATATAGATGGAGTTATAGGCTTCGCGGACTAAAAATGATTGCTGTTTTTGGAGTTCAAATATTTGCTTTCCTTGTTGGTAGCTACTTCCAAAGGCTGTTCGAGATATGGCGTCACAGGCCAAAGTACTGAGTTGTGGTGCTACATCAATCTCACACTTCCCTTGCGATTCCATTACCAGTTTCTGCCACTGCTCCACCAGGTTGCAACAACTCCTTGAAAACGCTGGAACCATTCCCTACATCTTTTGCCCCTTTAGTTTTCTCATATACACTACTCTATCTCCCATCCTAAATATAAGAATAAGATGACAACTAATTTAGAAAAATTAAAAAAAAAATAGTTAAGCTAGTTATTTGTGAAAAAAAAATTTTTTTGTTGACTTCTCTAAGACGGCCCTTTAATCATTTGTAATGAAAACTACCACATATGGAAACCCTTCTTCAATATGTATAACTAATAACGATAGTTTGCGGAAAATACTATTAATTTCAAACACAAAGCGGATCAAAATCATATATTTATAATCAAAACAAATTTTCCAATTAACTTCTATATTAATTTAAGACGGAAGGAGTATTTGGCAATATGTGTTCATAAACATATGAACATCTCCCTTCATCTTTTACCTCTTTAGTTTTCTCATATATACTACTCCCTCTTATCTTAAATATAAGGGATAGTAAAAGGATTTAGTCTTAAATATAGATCCTTGATCTATTTTGTCTCTCAAATTTATAATTTTTTCCCTCCCTCTTAACTGCACATGTTAACGAAGTAATTTTAATACAAATGATTAAAATGAGTATTTTCGGAAAGCCAAAACATTTTTTATAAATAATTAACTTCATTAATTTTCTTAATATCTGCAAATCTGTTATCTAACTTCTAGATTTAGGACCGGTTGGGGTACTTTACATTTCATAAACATATATATAACTCTTGGTCCTTAATATAAATCCCAGTCCAATTTGTCTTTTATATATATATATATTTATTTTTACTAAAGTAGTTTTTTTAGTAGTTGCACATGTTAAAGATTTTATCAAATGATAATTCTAGCTAACACATATTATTAGCAAAGATATTTTGGGAAAGACAACATCTATTAATTATAAACAACTAATCTAACTAATTTCTTAATCCACTCAAATTAAGCTTATATTAAGGACCAGGAGTAGTACTACTTTGCAACAACATAATAAAACTGCCTTGATTTGGTGGCATATATAGGTACCTTCAACTTGTCAAGGTGGAAAGCAGGGGTTATTAGCCGTCTGCGTTTACTCCATTCTTGCCCTTCCAAGGCTGCAAAACCCAAATGCTGAAGATTCACCAGTGGATTAAGAGGTGGATGCACTAGCTCACCTTTCTTGTCTTCTAATAGCAACCTTATCAGTTCTGCGTCCGCTATGATCAGCTTTGGACTACTTCCAAACCAACACACCGAAACTTTCCCTACACAAATAAAATGGAATATTAACCCAAAACCGAGTTTTGTAAAACTGGGTTTTGCTAACTGGCAGCCAAATATATTATTTAGTTCATATGATCACTATAAGGTTGGTTTTCTTACCATATCGCTTTACCATGTTGTGATAAAAAGGGATGACTCGACGGGCAATTTGGGTGTTGAGGGAGATAGGTTTAGAAGATGAGGCTTTGGCAAGCTTCTTCATTTCTGGCGTGTCCCCTTTGAAGGGCCGATAAGAAGTGCCTCTGATCCCTTGCTTCCTTAATCTTCTCTCTATACTTTTGGGTTTCCACCACAAATTATGGATAAGTTTCATCAAAACAAAGAGAACTAGGAAAGCAAAAGAGGTCGCCATGGCTTTGAACATGTGGTCTTCCATATTCAGAACCTGGGGATAGAGTCTAAGGAATATAGCCTGTTTATGATGGGTATAATAAGCTGGCTGAAATTAATTTCTTTTTGTTTGACTAATTCATGCAAGATTGCTTCCACTACTTGCTTTCCCTCAATTTGTTTTTTTTTTTTTTTGGCTGTTGGGGAAGTCATGTTGCCCTATATTATTTAAGATATAAAAAGTGACGTTCAAGGCTTCAAATTTGTGAAATGCTGGGAAAAACTTATCTAGTATAGCAGCCCATCAGTAATGAATACTCTCTCTATATATATAAATATAATACATAAGCTTGATAGACACATCCTTCAAAACCTGATGCCTACGTGCTGTGACATTGTCAAGGACTTAAAACAAAGTTCCATGATTGGCTAAATATGTTTGCAGACTAAGATTTTATTTATTAGCGTGACAGTCTGCCAGATACATATATAATTAACAAAATTAGACGGTTTATTAACTATCAATAGTGGATCCCCTACATCAATAATAATTGAGGCTGGCTATGAAGTTTCTTCTTCTTACTACCTCCTGTCTTTACATGTTAAAGATTCTATTAAATAATAGTTCTAACTAATATATATGATTAATAAGGGTATTGTAGAAAAGATAACACATATTTATTACAAATAACTAACTTAATAAACTTTGTTAATCCACCTAAATTAGTTAAGTAGTTTTAAAGATCAGAGGTAGTAACTAATTTAAAATTAGTCAATTAGCTCTTACATTAAGGACTAAAAGTAATATATACTAAGCTGTCATGATTAATTAAGTATTGCATAATTTTTCATAGATGCAGGCACATGCGTGTAAATAATGTCGATTAATACATTTCAAATGTTTTTAGTTTTGGTAAAATCGACAATTCAATATTGCTACAGAGATAGTAAGAATCTATAAGAACTTAATACTGTAGGGAAAAGAAAGTATCTAATACGGTGGGGAAAAGAAAGTATCTTTTCGTTGGTGTTATTGTGTGCGCGCGCTCATAAGATTTGAGATATAAGAATAGTATTCCGGCCGGAAAGGGAAAAAAATCACTACTGCAATCATAGCATTATTGCTGTTATGGTTGAAAATTAGATAAGTTCATTGAGATATAATTTATTATGTTTTTTCATTCAAAAATTACAGTATATAAATAATTTTATATATACTCTCATAGTTAAAAATATTAGAAAGCCATAATATTCACAAACCATGAATTAAAACAGTTTCTTTCGGACTCCATGCAATTTGAAAGAAAATAATTGGATTTGTGTTATTTAATTTATTTATTTTTCTTCACTTATTTTAATAAGATCTAATCCGATTATGAAAAATTGAAGTATGATACTAAAAAAATTATAATTATTGTTTTCTTTTGTGCATTGCAGGGAAAATTTAATTTTGCCGTCGGAGGATAGATATCCATGGTCCACTGTCGAATCGACATCGAGGGCTGGTGTTGACTCTTAAGCCTACATTTTTTGAGGAAAAAAAAAGGGCCAACGACTTTTGTACCAACAGTAATGGTTGCTCCAAATTATGTGTTAATTAATTAGTTTCCATTTCTTAATTTAATTAAGAAAGATATAATTCAATTATTACATGTTATTGTAGTATTTATATTAGCATCAGGCGTGTATAATAAGTTTAATTTGTAATCATGCTAGCTTAAATAACTTGTCGTCCCTATTTTCTATTACCTCATGAGGTTATGTTCTCAAATACAAAAAGCTTCTATTTTTCATTTTGGATAGCTATGCAACAAGAAAAGAAAAGTTACAAACAGAAAGATCCCAAGACTGATGATATCAGCAAAACTAATTTAAAGATTTTGTTTGGTGGGGCGTTGCTTGAAGAGAAGAATATGGAGGGCGATGCAGTTGTTTCTTCGAGAACGAAGAAATCTATAGATATAATAGAATTTTCTTTCAAGAAAGCAAGAAACAAAAAATCCATTTCGTGGTTTGGCAGAGGGGGGTCGAAGGTAACGGGAGGGAGGGAAGCGCTGCTACCGTCGTTTTGTAATTATACTCTGCTAAAATTCAAAATTTTATCATGTTAAATTTACTATAATCATTTCAGAATTTTTTTGGTATAAATTCAGGATCTCAAGTCCAAAGAGTGTTCTCCTTCTTACGAGGTCAGACCGCTTACGATCTTAACTGACAGCTTGTTGGTCATCATTTTAAAATTTATTTGTAGTTTTCATTAAAAAAAAAAAGGCTTAAACTTTTGGTCTTCTAAGTTTTAACTCAATGATAACTTAATTCCTTTATTATAATTTAGTATGACTCAGTCCTTCAATTTTTAATTAGATTAAAATTTAGTTATTAATCTTTTCATTTAAATTGGTTTTCCATATATATATTATTTATATATTTTTTTTGAAAAAATGATTCTGATAACAATCATCTAAATATTTTTAATTTTTTAAAATCACTTTTTTAAACAAAATCTATTCTCAACATAACTTTTTTTTATCACTTTTCTTCGAAAACTACTCTCTAAAAGCTAATCCAAATATTCTATTAATTATGCTCTTGCCATATATTACTCTCAAGTTTAAAACAAGTTTTGAGTTTAATTTGCTCATCAACACGTCGGATTATCATTTCAGACAACTCAAATTCCCCAAAGCCTCCAATATAATCAAATTATCGAGGCCCAATTTTCGAAACACCTTATAAGCACAAGTACCACTAATTCTAGTTTGAATGAGACACAAAATGTCAAATTTATTTTTGCAAACAACTCAGATGTAGTTTGTTGGGAAATATTTTCCTGTGCGCCATGGGGATCCTTACTAGTGGAAATAAGCCGACTACCTATTTTCTCTAGGGTGTTTGGATGGTATGAAAAGTGCTTCTGAAAAACATTTTTTCATAAATCAAGATAAACTCCTTCACATATTTATTTCGTATACCGTAAAATTACTTCTAAAATCATAATTTGGTTTTTATCCAAATACTCTCGGCAAAAGCACTTTCTTGATGGAAACTGAGGTAGCTCTTCACAGGTTCGCTTTATCCAAAACAGAGCCCATTTGAGGCAAATTGCCTCTAAAAGCAATGTGCTCTCTTGGGTCCAAATATTTAATTAGAGGCTTTTCATCATTAAAACTCATGGACTAAGGGAAATGGAAACCAATAAAAATGTCTAAATGGGGTCCTTACATTTCCCATCTTATATTGCTGACGATTTACTCTTGTTTGGAGTTGCAACGGAAGAACAAGCTTGTTGCATGATGGAATGTGCTGATACTTTCTCTAAAGCTTCTAGAGAACTTGTTAACAGGAACAAATCTTCTATATTCTTTTCTCCGAAAGTGACAGCTTCTGTTAAAGGAAAAATTAAAGATATCACTCAAATGAATATCTCTCCTGGAATTGGTAAATACTTGGGTTTTCCTCTTAGTAAGAAAAGAAAACCAAGTGAAACTTTTCATTACATTGTTGACTGGGTTCGATCAAAGCTAGCAGCTTGGAAGGCGAACAGTTTATCTGTGGCTTGTAGGATTACCCTTTCTAAATCTGTTTTGAGCTCTATACCTCTTTATCCGATGCAAGTAGCCCAAATCCCAAAAAAAATCTGTATTGAAGTCGAAAGATTATAAAGGAACTTTATTTGTGGTCACTGTGATTCTAGCAGTGGGTATCATCATACAAGCTGGCAGCAAATCACTATTCCAAAAGATTTTGGAGGCCTGGGATTCAACAGACTGATCTCAGTTAATAAAGATTGTGGAGCAAAAATCACCTGGAAATTGGTTATTGGGGTAGAAGGACTTTGGTCTGATATCTTAAAGAAGAAGTACATGATGAAAGATGAGGAAAACTTATTGGATAACTTCCCCGTGATTCCAATTTATGGAAATTCATTTGTCATCAAAATGACATTCTTGAGATGGGAATTGTTTGGAAAGTTCGGAATGGGAAGTATGTTAATTTCTTCAACGATTTGTGGTCATTCCTTGATAAGAAAGTCACCCGACCTCTGTTAACAGCCTCGCACTTGAGAGGAAAATGACAGTGCTGTAGCAGGCTGGATTTTTAATGGCTCCTGGAATATTCAACAACTTGCTTCTATTGTGGAACAGAGTGTCTTACAACGGCTAATTAGCTTTATGCCACCTATGGAGAATGCAGGATATGACGTGATGTCTTGAAACGGTTCTTCGAATGATTTGTTTTCTATCAAGAGTGCTTATCAAATGATTGAGACAAATCCTCCTGAGTCCTGATAAATATCACCCGGTGCTCAATTTGATTTGACAGTGAAAAGGAGCTGAGACGATTAGAACTTTCCTATGGAGAGTTTATAATAATCGTCTGCCAACAAATGAATGGAGAAGCACTTGGACACATACTTCACCCCTTTGTGCTTATTGTCAAGACAAAACTGAGGACCTACTACATATTCTGCGGGATTGTCATTTTGCTTGAGGTATGTGATTGGAAAATATTGAACAAAGGTATGTACAATCCTTTTTCTCTCTTCCCTTGAAGGATTGGATTGCTACTAATCTTAAACTTAATATGGGAAATACCAACAATAAGAGCTGGAATATTTTCTGCGGTGTAGTTGTGTGGAAATTATGGAACTGGAGGAATAATGTAGCTTTTGACATGAATTTTACTAGACCTTCTAATCCTCCTGCTTATTTGAGAAATTGCCGGAAACCCCATGCAATGAACACTTTTTGGGATGAGGCAAATCTGAATGTAGATCATGATACTGAAACTTCTTATTCTTGGATTACCCCTGCTCCTAAATGGATTAAATTAAATGTGGATGGTGCCGTGGCCTTGAACTCCTCCAAAATTGGTTGTGGAGGCTCATTACGTGACATTAAGGGCCATCGGATTGCTGTATTTGCCCAAAAACTGCAGTGCACAAGAGGCGGAAGAATGGGGCATTTACAGGGGGTTAAAACTCGCCCGGGACTTTGGATTCAAGGCTGTCACACTTGAATCAGATGCCAAAGTTTTGGTAGAACGGCTTTCTACACACCACACAAGTAACAATTCCAGTCTCCTTTTTATTCAGTTTCAAAAGATGCTGCAGTTTGATTGGACTGTCAAATTGGATTCTATCTCGAGAGGGAAAAAAAAAAGGAAAAAAAAAAAACCAAGGTCGCTAATGGGTTGGCTAAAATCGGGATTTCGCAATCTCTGTGTTTTTTTTTTATATTTGGCCAAGTAGTCTTGTGCAGGAAGATTGCATGGGATATGATCCCTCTATCGTTTAGTTTTGTTTTGGCGCTAGCCTCTTCTGTGACCCAAAAAAATCTTGCGGACTTAACATTAGGCCCACTCTTTCCAAATCTCTTATTAGACTACCATTATAATACATAGAAGCCAGTGGTATATAAGCAATAACATATTCAATAATTATAAATTAATAAATATAGTAATATATCCAATGTTATATTTTATAACTGTATTTAAAATATATATTAACAATTATAACATTATAATTATTCTTCCCAAAATTATTCTTCGTTTTCTCTTTAAAATTTTGTTATTATTTATTTTAATTAAATCTTTCATTTCTTAAAAAAAAAAAAAAAGCATATCGTTAAAGATGTCATTAGCACAGTCATTTTGGAATTTTGGAAGATTTTCCTATTGAAAATCAAAAGAGATACATTTTCTAGCTTTTATAAACATAAAAAGTATGATTTCAAAAGGAAAAAAGCCATATGTATTAAGCGTGAAAATATCATTGATGGTTAAAAAATATTCATAAAGATGTTGATGATAAAGTAAATAATATCATAATTCGAAGAACGAGACTCACGAATAGATTTGGAATCTATTTTCGTTGATATTGAGCATCTTTTCCCATCGCCTTAGTTGTCAAGTCTTGGCGGTTTATGAATTATGAAATCTTCGACAAAAGATTTGAGTTTTTTTTTATCAGTTTTGATTATAACTAATAACTATTGTAAATTCAGCAGTGACAACTGATTTTCATAAATAACAACTCGATTTCAAGTGTTAGAACTTAATGGCATATTCAGTGTGATTAATAATATAACTTTTATTATAAATGATGATAACTACAAATGTACAATATCATCCTTGATAACTAGTTTTCAAAAATTCATTTTCTAGGTTTTGAGGGTTAGTAGTCATTCTGTATAACAATTAACAACCTTGATTATTCCTAATGACGAGTAATTACAAGTTCAACTATATATGACAATTTTTTAGAAATTAAACTTCTGGTAATTTTTTTTGGGCCAAAAACTTTTGGCAAATTAAGGGGTTAGAAATTAGAAGTCATTTCGAGCTTAATGAGAATAACAAATAATAATCTAAGTAATAACTAATGATAATTATAAGTTTAATACTCCTCTAGTCTTATTTATAATTCACTTCTAATATGTTTCATACAAACAAAAAAAACAAACCTTAAACTTTATTAACTTTTATTTAAAATTTAACAACTTTTCAATTTATCCCTATTTAATATACATTATATGCCACGTAAACAAAGTCAACAGAATAATAAATGAAGGATAAAATTATACATCGATACAAAAAATTTCTCTCAATGCCCTATAAATAGAACTAAAAAATATCTTCTCTCTCTCATATAAACAAGACTAGAGGAGTAGTAACTGCCATTTCACATAGATTCAGCAAGGATAACAGTGGGCAATATGGTAATTTGGTAAGAAAAATTTAATGTCAAGAAAAGCATCTATAAACTCCATAGGTGATGTCATTCTCCCTCCATATTATTTGAAACTTACCACTTAACCATAATTTAAATCCTTTGTGAAATATTTTAGGATTATATATTTAATTTAGAGAATATGTAAATTTTTGTTTACATATTTTCTAAGGTTTTAGGTCAATCTAATTCTAAAAATTTCTACTTCCCTATTTGATAAGTTACAAGTTACGGATCAAAACTTCAATATATTTAGCCAATAAATTAATTCTCAAATAATTTATCCCCTCCATATAAGATCCCAACTTTTTTCACCGAAAATCTCTAATTATATAAATTTTAACTAATTATCCAAAATCCTCTAAGTAATTATTTTTAAAATAAATTTCATATTTGGTAAGAAATAGCTAATTTTAACTAATTTCATTAATTGAGGTAAACTTTTTAGTTTTTAGCAGGTGACTTTGATAAGAAGGGAGTATTAATTGACTAATTATTGAAGATTAAATTTTTGATAACTTTTAATCAAGTTTTATCTACAATTTAATTAAAGAAATGTTTGCTTGGACGGGATCGATTGCCTTGAAAAGGATCATAAAATTATTATTTGACTATAATGAAATTTCAATATGCATTCAATAATACTAATAATTTATTTAGCTAGAAGATTTTATTCAATTTTATTTTAATTTTAGTATTTCAAATATTTAATTTGGAAATGTATTGAGATATTATAATAATAACTCAAAACTTTAATGGTATTAACAAGTTATTAGTTGAGATAATAAGAGCTCTCAGTCCTGTAAGAAGGAGAAGAAAACGCATATGTTGAAATGATTTGAGAGGATAATTTAAGTTATACCCAAAAAAAAAAAATTGTACTTATTGTTTTGATTTCCCATAAAATTATTTGAAATTTTGAGTTAGCATCCTTCAAGATTTAATTTATACATTTTCCTCTAAAATTGAAAAATAAAAAAGAAAAATATGAATAATTAATTAAAAATTAATCTCCACCTTCCATTCGCTGCCATTATATTGCGAAACGCGAATACACTGCATATCTTAAAATTAAAACATGCTTAGACCAATCTCTCTCTCTCTCTCTCTCTCTATATATATATATATGAGTTTTATCGATATATATACACACACGGATTATATATGAAGAATTAAAGATAATGTTAGCCAAAAGATTACATAGAAATATAATTTTTTTTGTTAAAAAATATAATTTTAAATTTAGTGAAAAATAGTTGTAAATAAATGAGAGTAAAAGTTGATTGTCATGATCCAATAATCAAAGATCAAAGATTAAGATAAAAGAAGATAAAACCGAAGAAATTTAAATTTAAAATAATTTAAAATAATCAATCAACCCACTCCATGATAACATATAAATACTCCCTCCGGCCTCCGCCATTATGGGACCGATGTCTCAGAGAGCTTCTCTCTGTTTCTTTCCACTTTCCACCTTTCTTTCTTCTTCTTTCTCTGTCCTCTTTTTTAACCGTGACCGCAAAAATTCGGTCTCACAAGGGAAAAGCCATTGACCAGATGCCGCCGCCGCCTAAACCACCGTCTATCTTACGACTGAAGGACGATTATGTACCACCAGAACATGAAGAATTAGTTCGACTTACTCTCGCTACAGGTTCTTCTTACCAGTCTCCGCCAAAAAAGCCACCCTCTCCTCCGCCTCTGGAGTCACCACCCCACCTGTCTCTTTTACAGCTAATGCCTCCATCCTCCTCCGCCCCCATCTCACGCTCACCACAACCGCCGCTTGAATCTCAACCCCATCCATCTTTCTTATAACTATTGTCTCAATTCTCCTCCTCATCAAGGTCTCCAGAACCACCGTTTATACTTGGTTTACCGTCATCCCAGCTACAGCAGCCAGCCCTACCAGTGCCGGCGCCACCAAAATCACAATTCCATCCGTCTCTTCTACTGCCTTCATCCTCCTCAACGCACATAGGACCCCACCAGGATTCCATCTTTCAATGGCTTCATCCTCCCGTCAATTGCATATAGAGAACGTTTCGACCCCAAAATCGCCGGTGCAGCCATCACCACTAGAACAACCAGAACAGAGGCCACGGCCACCAGCAGATCAAACTCAACCACCAGAAGGCCAAGCTCATGGGTCTGGTGCCGGACGGGCACGTAACTACACGAAGCCGGGATGGGTGCTGACCATAGAGCCACCATATCCATGGGCTTCAAACATGAGGGCAAAAGTTTTAAGCATTGAGGAATTAATATCCAAGAATATCCTTTTCATAACTGGCGACGTTCATTGTAGAGAATGCAAGAAGCAGTTCCAGATGGAGTACGATTTGCTGTCTAAGTTCTCCGAAGTTGTTAGCTTCCTGGTCAATGAAAACGACAAGATGCATAATCGAGCACCAGAGGTTTGGTTAAAACCTGAAGATTTAGACTGTAACTTGTGTAATAAAAGCAAATGTGTTCAACCAGTGATCACTACCAAGAAGAAAGGCACGAATTGGCTTTTTCTGTTTCTGGGACAAATGATTGGATATTGCGTTCTCACTTATCTCAGGTACTTCTGCAAGCATACTGGCCATCACAGAACTGCGGCCAAAGATCGATTGGTTTATTTAGCTTATACCACTTTACATTGTCAATTAGATCCCCAAGCTTCTGATCTATATAAAATGTAGCTTGGATATGCATAGGTCAGAGTAGAGCTTTTTTATCAGCTTTTTTGTTCCCCTTTTATCGTATTTCTAATATAAATATTTATGAATATCATCATTTTATTTTGGTGGTTCATGGCTACTGGTACAGATTATTTTGGCAGAAGTAGACGTTTCAATGCCTTCAATGTTAAGGCTTTTTTTTTTTAACCCTTTTTTGTTACCTTTTAAACAATCTTATCTGATTTCTATCATATATATACTTTGATATGAATCATTTTATTTTTGTCGTTCATGGCTACTAATGCGATTTATTTTGGCAAAAGTAGACGTTTCATACTCTAATAAATGTTTTTTTTCCATTGGTATCACAGTCCACATAGATATACTGGACTTACAATAGCGTGTCAAGTTCCACCTCTTAGTTTGATGGTGGTTGATAAGGAGACGCCAATTGTTCTTTACCTTTAGGAGTAAATTTGTACTTGATAAATTCCAATGTGCTTTTCTAGCAGCAATTAATCTCACGGTCCCTGTAAAATTTTCTTTTTTAACTATTACTTTTATCTTTAATATAAGATATTTTCTAAAAGGTTTATGTTATCATAAATACTCTCTCTTGTCCGTTTTATAATAGACCACTCTGGTCTTTATTATCTGTCCTTGCAGAGAGGAATTTTGGTCTTTTTTCTTTAATTTGTTATTTGTACTGTTTTAATGATTCATTTTAAATTCTGTCCCTATTAATTATAGTAAAGGTGAAGGGTGAGGGAATAAGTGACAAAAATATACTAGTATTTAATACTTTCCAATTAATAAAAGCAAAAGTGAAAGATTTTATCTATTTAATATTTTTCTTGGAATGTGAAAAGGGAAAAAGACAGAAAAATGCACATTTAATTTCAGAAGCCCAAAAACGTCTGCTGAATTCAGGAAATCCCATTTTGGTACCATGAGACCAAATTGGGATTAATATGTGAAAGGAAAAGACCAAATTGTCCTTCATTTTAAATATTATTTTTAAAATATCACAGCCCCTATTGGCCGGTCGGTCACCGGACCTCCGGCGGCGGCGGTCACCAGAGCTCCGGTGACCAGCCGACAATTGGTCACCGGAGCTCCGTCGGTCGGATTTTTTTTTTTTTTTGAAAATTTTTACAACTTCAATATAACGGTTAACAACTTTTGTAATGCTATTAACAACTTTAGTATAGTAATTAACAACAGCTTTTTCGAGAAATTCAACAAACTCCGGCGACCGGAAACAATTTTTTTGAAAATTTTTACAACTTCAATATAACCGTTAACAACTTTTGTAATGCTATTAACAACTTCAGTATAGCAATTAACAACAGCTTTTCTGAGAAATTCAACAAACTCCGGCGACTGGAACCAATTTTTTTGAAAATTTTTACAACTTCAATATAGCGGTTAACAACTTTTGTAACCCTATTAACAACTTCAGTATAGCGGTTAACAACAGGTTTTTGAGTTTGTTAAAAGCATTACTGAAGTTATAAAAATGCCACTTTTTGAATTTTTCGAAAAACTTGTTAACTGCTATATCAAAGTTGTTAACCGTTATATTGAAGTTGTAAAAATTTTCAAAAAAAACGTAATTGTTAACGTTATACTGAAGTTGAAAATTTTTACAACTTCAATATAACGGTTAACAACTTTTGTAATGCTATTAACAACTTCAGTATAGCAATTAACAACAGCTTTTCTGGGAAATTCAACAAACTCCGGTGACTGGAAACAATTTTTTTGAAAATTTTTACAACTTCAATATAGCGGTTAACAACTTTTGTAACCCTATTAACAATTTCAGCATAGCGGTTAACAACAGGTTTTTGAGTTTGTTAAAGGCATTACTGAAGTTATAAAAATGCCACTTTTTGAATTTAAAAACTTGTTGTTAACTGCTATATCAAAGTTGTTAACCATTATATTGGAGTTGTAAAAATTTTCAAAAAGTTGTTAACCGTTATATAACTCAAAAGTTGTTAACTGATATACTAAAGTTGTTAATAGCGTTACAAAAATTGTTAACCGTTATACTGAAGTTGTAAAAATTTTCAAAAAAAATTATTTCCAGTCACCGGAACTTGTTGAATTTCCTAGAAAACTTGTTGTTAATTACTATATTGAAGTTGTTAATATAATTATAAAGTTATTAACCGTTATATTGAAGTTGTAAAAATTTTCAACTTCAGTATAACGTTAACAATTACGTTTTTTTAAAAATTTTTACAACTTCAATATAACGATTAACAACTTTGATATAACAGTTAACAACAAGTTTTTAAATTCAAAAAGTGGCATTTTTATAACTTTAGTAATGCCTTTAACAAACTCAAAAACCTGTTGTTAACCGCTATACTGAAGTTGTTAATAGGGTTACAAAAGTTGTTAACCACTATATTGAAGTTGTAAAAATTTTCAAAAAAATTGTTTCCGGTCGCCGGAGTTTGTTGAATTTTCCAGAAAAGCTGTTGTTAATTGCTATACTGAAATTGTTAATAGCATTACAAAAGTTATTAACCGTTATATTGAAGTTGTAAAAATTTTCAAAAAAATTGTTTCCGGTCGCCGGAATTTGTTGAATTTCTCAGAAAACCTGTTGTTAATTGCTATATTGAAGTTGTTAATAGCGTTACAAAAGTTGTTAACGGTTATATTGAAGTTGTAAAAATTTTCGAAAAAATTGTTTCCGGTCGCCGGAGTTTGTTGAATTTCCCGGAAAAGCTGTTGTTAATTGCTATACTGAAGTTGTTAATAACATTACAAAAGTTGTTAACCGTTATATTGAAGTTGTAAAAATTTTTTTTAAAAAAAAATCCGACCGACGGAGCTCCGGTGACCAATTGTCGGCTGGTCGCCGGAGGTCCGGGGACCGCCGCCGCCGGAGGTCCGGTGACCCGCCGGCTAGTAGGGGCTGTGATATTTTAAAAATAATATTTAAAATGACGGGCAATTTGGTCTTTTCCTTTCACATATTAATCTCAATTTGGTCTCATGGTACCAAAATGGGATTTCCTGAATTCAGCGGACGCTTCTGGGCTTCTGAAATTAAAGGTGCATTTTTTTGTCTTTTTCCCATGTGAAAAACTTCTACAAGTGAAAAATAATAAGGAATAGAGTATTATCTTCTAAAAGATATTTCTAGACCATCTTCAAAATATAAGATAAACTTTATTTATTTACATTTGTCAAGAAATTAATTAAAATCAATTTAAAATAATAAATACGTAAGGCATGTATTTTTTTTTCAAAATATATCCTTATTAATTAAAAGAATAAGTTAAAGATGTAATAAATTAATCAAAGATAAAAGAGAATATATGAGGATAAAATTAAAACAACCTCATTAAATGCTTAAGTAAAAGTGAATGTTATCTTATAAAAAAATAAAAATAAAAGCTCCTCTAGCAACATTTAGCTTATATTTTGAACCAAAGAGAGTAATTGCAATAAGCATTAAATATATTTTGCCATATAGTGAGAGAATATAAGTTAATATGATGAGGGAGTTTGGCATGATTAATAATGATAATATTAAAAATCATTCTAACTTTATAACAAATTTAGTGCTCTTAACTATCATTATTAATACATCTGAATTAGTTAGAAACCTTTGCAAAATGGACTGGAGGAATATAAGTCCTTTGCAAAAAATCAATAGCATTAAATTCTTCTTTTCCAAAAATACCCTAATTGATTGTATCGTAGAGAGAGATTTTGGAAGAAAGAATAACTTTTTTTTACCAACGTTGGAAGAAAGAATAACTACAAGTAATTAAGGTGCATTATATTGATATTAATTGGAGGGTAATCTTGAAAAGTATTAATAATAATTTTTTACTTCTATAACAATACAAATAACTTTTAACTACTTCTGCTAATCCTTGTGAAGAACTCTCTCCATTTCTCATTATAAGTTTCAAATAACTAATTCATGATAACGAGCAATTAGTTAAAATTAGTTAAAATCAATGCATAGATTCGAAATATACTTTTGTTTTTTGTTTTCAAATATGCCTTTTGATTAAATGAGAAAAAGAATAAAAAAGAATGTATGGGAAAACATGACTAGAGAGGAATAAATAAGAGCAATATTAAGAAAAAGTATTAAATTTAAGACAAATCCAAATTGAAACTTATAAAATGAACCGCACCGTTTTTCAAATTGAAGCTTATAAATAGGACCAGATGGAGTAGTATGAGTGTTTTGTATCAAGGATTAGAGTGATATTTAAATATAATTCAATATAACTCATCATATATATATATATATATATGAAATTATTTATTTATTACCTTGAATTTGTACTACAGAATAGCGTCTACCTGCATTTATCTGCAGGTTGCCAACAAGCCTTCTTCTCCCAGTTGGTTCGATCCAAGCTACGATATATGCCATCAAGTCTTACAGACCAAAATATGAAGTGTTCCTTATATTCCACATCCGGATCGAACAACATGCAATCTGCACATATCTGATCAATTATGAAGAAGCACGCCGCCTTTTCGCTCATCGACGGAAAGAAATTGTACGATTTGCCTGGTTCAATCTCTGCTTCTGTCTGTTGGAAGCTTCCTACAACGAACAATCTTGATGAGTTTGATGGCAGATCGTTGTGAATATCAATCGCCGTCAAGTTTATGTCTATGGTTTGATCATTATTGTTCCCACGTTGGTGTTGGACACCAATAGAACTTGTCGAGGTTGTCGCTGTAAGAATGAGGAAAAGAAGAAGGGCTGGTGAGGGGAGGGAAGGATGCATGATGCTTGATTTTCGGATGCAGAATTCTGTTGGACGATTCTTATAAATCTTCGTGGTTGTTTCATTTCACTATAGTATTACTATATATTAGTAGATGTTGACACTGAATTACTGGAACTTACAAACTCTTTTTATTGCTCTATTGCCAGCATTTAATGTCTCATTTACTGTAATAAAT